GGCACCCCCTATCTCACCAGGCACCCCCCATCTCACCAGGCACCCCTTCATCTCACCCGCTCCAGGGGGGTATGCTTTTAGCTCACCCTCACTATAGGTACATTTGGAGACGATTTGCTTTCTGATAGAGTTGGGGCTCTGGAGGTGAGCACAGAAAGCATAGCAATCTAAACAGGCACTTGAATCCAGACTGGGGACACATACCTGTTATATCAGCACGCAGGAGGCTGAGGCAGGAGGATCACAAGTTCTAGGCTACACAGTGAGGCTCTGTCTAAAAAAACACAAGATAACTGATCTCTCCTCTCTCTCTCTCTCTCTCTCTCTCTCTCTCTCTCTCTCTCTCTCTCTGTTCCTGTCCCTCTCCCTGCCCTCTCAATAGACAAAGATATGTTCAATTTAGGTACAAGTGGACCCTTATTGTCAGCTAGTTTTGAAGGAAAGGGTAGTAACATCGCCAAGTGCTTGAGAAAATTATACTGTCACTGCTATAGAATGACTGTGCTCCCTTAAAACTGTTACATTGAACTCATAACCCTTAAGGGGATGGTATTAAAAGCAAAGCCTCTGGGAGTGGATGGAGATGGAGATAGCCCTGTCATGAGTGAAATTAATGGGGCTGCAGAGATGGCCCCATGGCTAAAACACCTAAGTTTTAATGTACAGAACCCAAGTAAAGCTAGACACAGTAACTTAAATCTGCAGTCCCATGGGCCCTTGCTGCTATGGTGAGATGGGAGGAGGCAGAAGACTCTCCCAGAAGCTCCGTGTCCAGCTAGCCTATAGTATGCAATAGCAAGCAGCCAAGAGACCTGTCTCAAACAAAACCCATCTTCAAAGATGTGCCTGGACCTCTACAAATGCACTGTGGCATGCCTGCATTCGCTCACACACAAGTCACACATACATACACGCGTATCGTACACACGAGAAATAAAAAATGTAAAAGGAACGGAATTAGGGCCTTTACAAAAGCGATCTCAGCTGTTTAGATCCACCTATCATATAAAGGGGTGTCAACTGCTGGTGTCTTTATCTTCCCAGCATCCAGAAACTCGACAGATCACCTTCCAGCTTTTGTAGGCTACCACTCTATGACAGTTGGCTACAGCAGCCTGAACTCGCTAAGACACTGTAACCTGTGCCGATGACAGCTCCCACATTAGCCTGCGTTAGGCTCTTAGCACTGGCTGAAGTGCGGGCAGTTGCCTGTTTGGCCATACAGGAGCACAGACATGCAGGAGACCTGAATGAGAACAGAAAAGGCAGCCGAGAAGCAAGAAGGCTGCCATTTTTGAGGTGTTATTTACTTCTGGGGGTTGGGTGTGTGCGAGTTTCCTGGTGGTCTGAGTTTTATAGTTGCCCACGGATCATTTAGTTCTGCATAAAGGTCCCTCTTTCATCTTCTATGCAGAAAGAAACAGCCAGAATCTGGGGATATTTTGTAAAGAATGGACTAAGCAGATAAATACAAACAAAGCAGCAAACAAATAAATAATGAAGTTGAAGGCATGAAGTGAAATAAATGTGAGGGTTAATTCTTGGGAAAGCTAAATATTAGCCACGTGGGCCTGTGGCTCACTAGGAAGTCTTTAGGAGTCTTGGTGTCATTAGAACCATAAAGATTTCATCAAGATGACCCCAACCCAAGGTGTTGACCGAGCTCATTCTGTTGACCGAGGTTTCTGTCCTACCCGGTCCTGCAGTCATTCAGTTGCAAAGAAACACACAGAGGTCTACATTAATTATAAACTGGTTGGCTTAGTAGCTCATGCTTCTTATTAACTCTTATAACTTACATTAACCCTTAAGTCTTGTCTGTATTAGCCACAAGGCTAGGCACCTTTTTCAGCAAGGCAGTCATAGCTTGTTTCCTCTGCATACTCTTTCCATAATTCTCGCTGACCTGCCTCCTACTTCCTGCCTGGTCTCCCTCCCTCTACTTCTTGCCTGGTCGCCCCTGCCTGCGCTTCCTGCCTGGCTACTGACCAATAAGCATTTATTAAACAAGTACAAGAAACAAATCTTAACGAGGTAAAACCATTGTCTCACAGAACCAAGAATGAGTGAGCACATGCATGGTTGTTCCGGTTTACCAACAAAGGGTAACAAAGTTCTTACTGTCCCGTGCACACAAGCCTTTCCCCGCCTTCCCCTCAGTATATGGGCTTGTTCATTAAAGCACCTTAGAATCCCGACCTCCATGCTCCATCTCTAGGGGCGTGTTTGCCTTTCCTATTTGCATGCTATGTCTTGCTGTGTTTTAAGTAGCACGCTGGGAGGCTGGGGAGATGACTCGGGCGGTCTGCACAAACATGCAGAACTGAGTTTGGGTCTTGAGCACCAAAGTAAAAGACTGCTACAGGGGTTTGTATCCCGAGCACCAGCACTTGGAGGCGGAGACTGAAAGATCTCTGGAGCTCATTGGCTAGCACCTAGCCAATCACAGAGCTGCAAGTTCAGTGAGCGACCCTGCCTCAAAAAAATAGGTGGAGGGCCATAGAGGGAAGGCTAGCACCCTCTGACATCCACACAAGCCTATGTAAAGAAGCAGGCAGATCTACAGGCCAAGTCTTTTCAAATAGTAGTTTTAGTTACCTACCCACAGAGACCATTCCTGTCTACAAACCCGGAGGAAATTGAGGCAAGAATGAAAATTTCTGAAACAACCACAAAGCGATGCCCCTCAGTGTTCTGTTTTTGGAAATCCTAAACCTGTTTGTCTTTCTTTTAGTAGCTCTTGAAACCTCAAGGAAATTAAATATTAAAATAATGTTTTCTAATTTAAAAAGTTCTGCTACTTCCTGCCCTTGCTTCCTCACCGGTGTGAGAGCAAACTAACCAAAATTAAGGCACCCGAGGAATAATTGTTTTAAAACTCGATTTTAAAAAGCTGATCATACCAATAATTTATAAATAGAGAAAACACAAAAGGCTAAACTGGAAACAACATGGAATTTCATCAAGGGTTTAAAATTCAGGCTAAAGGAAGATGAGAGGCTGCTTTTCTGTGTCATGTCCCTGTGTACAGAACACAAAATTACACTTAATCCTGGCAGGGAATTGGGGTTAGCGAATTCCTGTGCTCTGTTGGTGCAGGCGGAACCATACAGGAAAGCAATTTGATAATAGGTTTCAAGAGCCTTGGAAATTATCTCCTCTGACATAGAAACTGCCGTCTTGGGACTACATCTCAAGTTATCCTCTTTGATACAGACAGAGATTTATGTAAAGATTCTCATTAGAGCATTTCTAATGGCTATCTGGAAAGAACAGAA